GTTGCTGGCCCCTTGGGCAGGATATGGGCACTACTATTATCACCCAAGGGAGATCATCTTTGCCTCAGGAATAAGTGGCCCAGTTTTTGGAGTGGAAGGACAGGACTCTAGCCTGAGTGCCTCAAGTGCACATGTATCTAGCAATTATGTCCACAGCTAAGGGATTCACTACAACTAGGTTGATCCCAGAGGTTCTGAATGTTCTAACTTTATATCATACAAGGAACTCGAAGGAGAACTGGGGCCTAATATGTAAATAAAAATGAACCTGGCGACTACAGTTTAACCCAGTGGTTCACAACCTATCTACCACTATGAGCCACCTATGCAGCTCTGTGTGTGTGATGTGGGCTCCATCCACACAATACACAGACTCCTGCATGGCCCAGAGAATATCACATGAGCCACAACTATGTGCTGACTGAGTCACAAGTGGCCTCCAAGCCCCAGGTTTAGAACCACTGATCTAGCCCTGGTCAACATCTAACCTGAAATAACTGCCCTTATTTTGAAGTAACAAGCGGAGCATCCACACTACCACATCCATTATTTCAAAATAAGGGGCTGGTTGTTTTGAAATAACAACTCCTGCTTTTCATGAGGAATTACGCTGATTTTGAAATAGTTATTTCAAAATAACAATAGTGTGGACTCTCCACTGCTGCTATTTCGAAATAATTACTCCCCAGAGTCATTCCAAGTAATTACTCCCCAGTGCTTCCTGGGGCTCTAAGTCCAGGTAGTGGTCCACAATTAGAGAACCTGCCTTGGACTAATTTTGAGGCTTCCCTGTAATGTGGACACACTATTTTGAAATAGTTATTTCAGGAGTTATTTCCAAGTATGATATTTTGAAATAATTTCCTAGCATACTCGTGCCCCTAGACTCAAAGAAAAACACATCCACTCAGTTTGGCATAATTGGTGATCCCTGCTACAGGAGATGCTGTAGAGTGGAACAGAAGAGGAATTGCAGGTAAGGACCAAGGGCCTCAGAGAAGTGCTGCAGAGAAGCTTGCACAACAACTGCTAATGCCCCAGATGTCTGAGTACAGCAGTGGGTGCCAGGAACTCCCAAATTCTAATCTCAGCTCTGACATTGACTCACTCTGTGATTCTGTTTCTCCATCTGTAAAACTATGATTGAACCTCTGTCTCCAAATTGTTGTCAGAATTCATTCACAACTGTAATTAGTGTGAAGATTAAAAGTACCATGTAATCACATTGTATTTTTAAAACTAGAACTTTCAAACTAAATATAAAAATAATTTCCCAACCAAAAATATGGAACTCTTCTTATTCTTGAAGTTGTTGCACTAATTACGTTATAGTATGGCAACAATTCACTAAAATATTCAGACATATTAGGCAGAAAATTCCATATGTGATAGTGCACCTAGTTCACACATGCAATTACAGTCATATACACAAAGGAGGTAACTCCATGAACAAAGAACCAATTATGCACAGCAGTGTGCAGTTTAAGGAATGGCATGTGAACATCAGGCACACAACTCCACACCTCAGTTGTCTGAAGACCTGCCCCCCACATTTAATCTGGCATTACAAGATAGAGATTACTACTACTGTAGCTAGACAGGAACCCCCCTTGTAACATCCATTTTTGCTTGCCTGGAGCATCCAGGGCACACAGAGCAGAAGGCCCAGGCTGTGTGACCGTGAATGGCTGTAAACAGAGATACGCCAATTGCTGACCAAGAGGCTGCCAAGGAGTGCCCTTGACTGAAACCCATATTGATACGAATACACATCCATCCACGGGGGGAGGAATCTTTCGCCTAGTAAAAAATGTCTAGTATTCACAATTTAGTTATCTCTCTTGCAAGTGTAAATTAACTTGAAACTTGCTTGTAAGAACTGGCGCCACAAAACGGACCAGTACAATTCGGCATCTTAGATAAGAAAGAGGATACGGGCCCCCAGGGGTATATAGATGGGTCCAGCAGCACATTTTCTCTGAGTGTCAATCTACCATCTATCTGCTGGTTGGGTTTGGTGTTTGATCTCCCGAGGTTCCAGAGGGGACGCCCACCTCATATTCGTCTTTCCTAGGAATTGAGAGACCGGCCCTGGCCTGACACGCTGGAGTCAAGAGGCACAGAAAGGGGTAAAAATTGTACCTGGATGTGGTCCTTTGTTTAAGTATATATATACATAGTGTTAGAGCTCTTTAAAGATTAAGCTGTCACTTGGTACCATTATTTCTATTTTCTATCTTTACCTTTTTCCTGTAACCATTTTTAAGACCTATATATATATTTGCTAGCATTTAAGAAATAGAGCAATAGCCATTGTAACCATATGCTTTTATAAGTCTTTTAATAAACCTGTAACTGTTTAAGCTTTAACCTGACTCCTCCAGTTGCTGTAACAGAACCAAGCACAATTTAAAAGAACTTCAGCCAGTCATAAAGGGACAGAGGGAAAGCTTAGGCGTTTGGATCTGTGTCACTCCCAGGTGACAAGATCCGTTGGGGCACCTTTTCAGCCTTTCCTAGGCTGCCCGCTGCGAAGGAACCCCTGTGTTCTAGCAGCTAAAATCTAAGGTGTAATAAGCTCTTCCTATATAACGGGGCGTCTGTTAGCCTGCTGGCTACCCTCTGCGATGGGACCCCGGGCCTAGCAGTAAAGACACGGACGTTAAACCTTTTCTCGGAAGCATACACACACACACTGCCCTGACCGTCGGCTGACAACTACACAAACTAAAAATGTTGTCAGAATGTAATTTTTTTCATCACAGTGTCAACAAGCTTAAGATGGCCAGTCTGTAAAATGTCTTAGACAGAACTGGCTTCATTACATTAAAAAAAAAATAGACGTAACTACTGGGGCCATAATCATGAGACTGTTTTTGCCTTCTTTCCAGAGCATATATTATCCTGTAAAGGAATGCAAACCGCAAAGCAAACCTTCAGTTACCTTCTGCAACCTGACAGACTGGCCCAAGAAATACTGCTATGTCTAGCGGATTGGAAGAGTGATGTGTTCATTGCACAGAGGTGTGAAGGACCCAGCCCACCTCATCTCATCTCACAGGACACAGCTGGTGAAATGTACACAAAGGGGAGAAGCAAGTGGGAAAGGGGGAGAAAGGATCTGAGGTAAATTAGGAGACATTTGTGCCATCCATCATCCCCTCCAGCCCTTTCCTTCCATGTAGTTTTGGTTGTCACATCACCAGAAATGATTTTCCACCCAACCAGCATTCTGGAAACCATTGGATCAATTTGCTAAAATAGTATAACAGAATCCAGAAGCATGAGTGAGTTCTCAGGGACACTGGGCATCATCCATCTATCACTTGCCTGTGAACACAGTTGTTGCAACATGTGGACAAATGAAAGTTTTCCATGGTCTTCAGATATTGGCATTATGACTAATATTAAACTGAAAAAATACCTCATAAGCCAAAGGCACAGTTCTCTGGGGCTGTAGCCAATTGGCACACAGTTGTACTAACACACTAGAGAAAATTTGGTGCACTACATTGATCTCTTTTGTTTTTAAATCAGCTTCTCCTCTCAGAAAATGCTTCTTCGAAGCACCTGCCCCCTTCTCCACGTGCAGATCTTCACTCTGCCCTGTCTGCTCCATTCTCCACAGAGGTTAGGCAAGAAAGGCAGAGGATGTAGAATATAGACGGGGGGTGATTCTCCAAGCAAAAGGAGCACCTCATGCACAAGGATTTTTTTTGTTTTTGTTGTTTAAAAGCATTATAGGGACTTATTGAATATTAATTAATTAATCTTTATAACCCATATAAGTAAGTCGTTATTCCTGATTTACATACACGGTCAGGGAGACACGAGTAACTTCACTCTCAAACAGCCATAAAATGAAAACCATGATCCTAAGCCAGACTCCTGCTGGCAGGGAAGGAAGCGTGAGACATAATCCTCCTTATCCTTTGCTTTCGGGAGGTGCCCCAACACTATGAAGATGAGCACAAATACAGGTTGAACTTCTGTAAACGGGGAGACTCCAATTGACCACAGATGTTCCAGGACCAAAGACTGCTGGTGGCGGGCTGGTGCCTATGAACCCTGTAGGCTCCCAGCCAGTGGGTCCAGGAGCCCAGTTCCCCACAGCTGGGCTGCTACACATGCCCCAGGACTGCTGTGCAGTGAGGCTGGGAGCTGGGCTGCCTGGTGTGGCAAACAAGGGGGTATGGGGACTGGCAGGGCCTCAGGGCCTGTGGCCGGTCTAGGGTTGGGGGGGCTGGATGTGGGGAGGGGTGTCAGATATAACCTCCCTTGGTCAAGCAAAATCCATCATCTGGGACCAGTCAGGCCCCACAGATGCCAGACCAGGAAGGTCCAACCTGTGTAAGAAACTGGAAGGACAAAGAACAGGGAAGATTGTTAAGAACAACCCAGCCCCTTTGTGCTGCTCGGTATCTTTGGTGGGAGGGGAACCTTTAGTGGATGTGAAGCCCCTGAAGCCAATATTTCAGCTGGCCCCATCTCTCCCTCTCTCCCCCTGCAACCCAATTGCAGAAGGAGGAGCTGAGAAGGGAAAGAGAAGTGAGCTCCTAAGGAACCATATGCCATGGGCCTGATTTGAGCAGCCCCCTGCCGCAGCTCCTGCCAGGACTACTGCTGGTGCAGACTGAGCCATGTAGTCTGGGAATCAGTTACTGCTGCCTCCCAGGAGCTCTCCCCACCGCTCGCTCTCTTATACCCAATGGAGTTTGGACACAGGGGCGCATCAGTCTTAGACAAAGCAGGAATTATGGCATTAAATATGCCATGGGCCTGATTTGAGCAGCCCCCTGCCGCAGCTCCTGCCAGGACTACTGCTGGTGCAGACTGAGCCATGTAGTCTGGGAATCAGTTACTGCTGCCTCCCAGGAGCTCTCCCCACCGCTCGCTCTCTTATACCCAATGGAGTTTGGACACAGGGGCGCATCAGTCTTAGACAAAGCAGGAATTATGGCATTAAAGTAGCATTATTTGAAAGCACAAGTGTTACTTACAGTTTTCAGTTGCCCACATCTGTTGGTCAGAAGAACATTGGCTGATTGTGCTGCACCAGTTCTCACAACAGGATGTGAAGGGAAAGACTTAGCAGCAAGCACTGTAAAGTAATACCAGTAGCTCAGTAATAAGGTTATGAGCAGAGTGAAACCTTGTTACGGGTAGGGTTAAAACCTCATTGAAATAAACAGGTGTAAACTCACACTTCAATTAAACATGACTGTAAGGAAAAGCCCCCACCACTGATGAGAGGAGTATGGGAACCTGTCAAAGAGCATTTTCTGTGTATTGTTTCAAGGTAGGAGTTTGAATCTGTGTGGAAAGCCAGAATAGACAAACACAAAAATCTCGAATGACAGAAAGAGGGAAGGAACAGCTAAAAGCATGGGGGTGGGGGGAGGGGAAGCCATGAGGAGAGTTTTTTGGGTCTGAAATGAGTGGGTACTTGGTGCTATGAGCAAAAGAAATGGAGTCCTGCTACTTGAGTATTTCAGCATTCAGACACACAGAGTTACATCGATTGCATAGCTTATTTCAAAATAGCTTATTTTGAAATTGGGAGCATCTACACAGCACTTATTTTGAAATAGAGCACTCTTCCTCCAACTTCCCTTACTCCTCATACAATGAGAGTTACAGGAGTCGGAGTAAGAAGTCCTCCAGCTTGACAGTATTTCAACATCATTTTGAAATAACTGCCTGCAATGTGGACACAGACTAAGTTGTTTCAAAATAATGCTAGTTATTTTAAAACAATGTTGCTGGGTAGACATACCACGGGTGTTCATGAAAGGTGAGTGAAAGAAAAGAGAAACCAGCAACTTCCTGGAAAGAGCAAAATGATTTGCCCTTGGAAGCATGCACTGCCCAAGATTCCATAGGAAATTCTGTCTCCAACCTCATGCAACACATAGACTACTGCATGTTCTTCTAGGGACAACTTAAAAATGACTGCCTGGTTAGTTCAGTGGCTGATAAACATTAAGCCCGTGGTCTGTGGTTACAGAGTATCACCCATCCCTCACTACTAAAGGGTCTTAATGCTGCATGATCAGTTCTACTGAATTGCCCATTTACAAATGAGTATTTCACATAAAATAATTATCTTAATACCATGTAAACACATGACATTTTACTCATTTTCCAGAACCAAAAACACATGTAGTTCTTCACACAAAGGTCATGTGTACTAAGATAAAAGCCCAAATTCATGAAAAGATTAATGAACCTCAGATAAAACTATGGCAAGCTAATCTTGCATTTTGAAAGTTTCAGAGGGGAAGCCAAGTTTTTCTGTAACAGGAAAAACTTTAAAAAAGCAAAATTTGTAATGAAACCTGAACTCAGGTGTATTTCACTTACACTTGGTCTTTCTTTATATTAATTATTTCTACATAGTTCTAGCTAATATAATTCTAACACCGTAGGATGTGACATTTACTCTTTTCAAACTGAACCCCCTCCACACACGTATTTTAAAGGAAGAAGTGCTACCGTTTTAGACTAACACTGAAACTGCAGCAGAGAGGCAAGTGGACCACGCACTTCAATTTAAACAGACACATATTAGTGACAGATTAAATATTTTTAGAATATATATGAAATTATAAACCACAATGATTAATATAACCTTGTCAGTTCACCTATATAAAACTAATATAACCATGAATAGCAAAAGAATGCATGAACTATTTCCCATGGCATAAAATACACTCGTGAGTTAAAGTTCAAGTAACTAACTCTTCAATATTTACTTTTACTTTTCATTCTCCTTAATTTAATTTTAAATTTTCTAGTCAGCTTTAATTCTAGAAGTTTTAATATGTAAAATAAAAACCAAACATACATCTAGGTATTGTAGATGTACGCACTGGTATATAGATGCCAGTATATATCAGGCCACTATTTAAATAAAACTATTTTTAAATGAAATTTAAGACAGTGACTAGAATATTTTTATTTTCATTGGTTTCATTTTCAATGGTGACTGCACATCTGCATTCCAAGTTTGCATGCACCATCATAAAAATAGCCTAGGCAAATAACTATCAATGTGAATTATTTTTGTGTGCTTAATTATGCTCTTGGAAATCAGGCCTTCCTTGTGGTCCAGAGTAGAGGTTGGACCTTTATAAACCACACTTCCCTCAATCAGCAACATCCCTGGTCAGGCATCCGTTTGCACTACAGGTCTGGAGCGCTCAAGGGAAAAGCTGGGGGTCCTGCCCTCAGTAACTCCTCCCTCCTAGAGATTCTGGAGCACTGCAAATAGCTCATTTGTGGTGTTCAAGACAAGGGAAAAAGCGTGGGCAAAGAGTCAGGGTGGCTACAGAGCCCTGTGGCTGCAGTAGAGGGGCTGGTATTGACTTTCCAAAGTCTGGCAAATTCCCTGGTTCAGGACCAGTCAGTTCCTAAGGCTGCCGCACCAGGGAGGTTCAGCCTGTAAGACGCAGTCCAGATGCTATGCTGATGCTGCTGCCTTGAAAACAATGCATCGATACTAATTTAAATCAGCTGATAATCTCTCTCTGATTTTGCGGTCAGCTCTTACAAACACTTAGGTATTCATGACTGCAGTCTTAGGCCTTGTCTATACTTACCTGGAAAGTCCAATTAAGATACACAACTTCAGCTACGTTAATTGTGTAGCTGGAGTAGAGGTACCTCGATTGACCTTTGGCGCTCCCAAAGATTTCCCTTACTCCTTGCAAATCAAGGAGTACTAATGTCCATGAGAGCACCCTCAACATTGGATTTACCAGATCTTTACCAGACCCACTAAACTGAACTCTGGAAGATCAACTGCCGTAGCATCCATCTTTCCGGTAATGAAGAGGTGTCCTCATTTAGTTCAATGGTACTACTGACATGAGTAAATTTACCTTTGTGTATGTTTGCAGGATCTAGGCTTGAACTGGCTCATATGACATGACAAATGGGTGCAAAACAAATGGAGGCGGAAGGTAACCATGAGAGAAAAACATGGTTATAGAGACTATCTAGGAGCACAACTTGTGTGTAGTGTTGTTAAAGCTGTGCTGGTCCCAGGATATGAGACACACAAAGTCAGTGAATATCTTTTATTGGACCTACTTCTGTCAATGAAAGAGACAAGCTTTTGAATTACACTGAGCTCTTTTTCAGGTGTGCAAAAAGTCACAATTGGCAGGTTTCAATTTAGAAAAATAAATCTACATATCATTGTAATAATCTTATGTTGAGTAATTATTTCCTCATTTTCTCCTTCAAACACAAATGATTATGCTATGAATGCAACACAATGTTAGAACTGAAATCCCTAACCAGCTTTTGTAAAAATGTTGTAGGCAGTTTAGGGATTCCAATTACAAAATAATCTAAGACTTCCATCTGTACACACTAGCACTAGTGTTTCTTGTCCCTTATGATTATTAAAATCAGGTTTCTTTCTGATTTTTTCACTTCTATTTTAAATGTAATTTCCTTTTCCTCTTTCTGAAGTTCAAGATTTTTGTTATTTCACAAAGATGAGGAAAAAAGATATGTAGTATTGATTTGAAGGGGTGAAATGTTTATAACTTTGCTAGGTTCTCAACAGGAATAAATCAGCTTTGTTCCATTGACTTCAACGGAGCTGCACAGTTTTACACCAACTGTGAATCTGGTCTTTTGATATTTTGTTACAGATTCTATATTTTAAACATGAGATTTTTTTAAGTAAGCTCTTAAAATCATTCAGAAGAGTTAGAGTTTAAGAAACCCAACTTTTTAATTTTATATCCTGAAGTTTTTCTTTGAGCTGTGAACTGTGAGTGCCCTCTAGGATCAGTGTCCAGAAGTCTTCATAATCTTGCTGGTTCTTTAAGATTCCATGTCTTGTTAACTCATTCTGCAATCCTATAATCTTTAAAAGAGAGGGGGAAAATGTGAATACAGAACTTACTATTCTGAATCCTTATATGCAACAAAGCCAGATATAAAATTATCCAATAGTGAGCCAAATCCTATGCTGGTTGATGCAGTGTATATGAGCAGAGAAGCCTTCTGATGTGCCCTGTACATTTAAGGAGCTGCTAGCATGGGCAGAATTTCTCAGTGATCCACTGGGATATAAAACTACAGTGGGATAAGATCTTACTGTTCAAACTAAGACCCAAGCCTGCTTCCCTTCCCTGCTCCCCTAACTATAGCACGTGCACCAGCTCAGTGGTTTTCAACTTGTGGGGGACTCAGACAACATCTAAGATTTCCAAAAGGGGTCTACGCCTCCATTTGAAATGTTTAGGGGTTTATAAATGAAAGAAGTTGAAAACCTCTGTGCTAGCTGAGGATGTCTAAACATGGCCTTCTTCCCACCCCCTCAGATTTCAGCCCCTGGAATTGTGGCATATGAGCTGCTGCATTAAGTAAAAGTACATTCCATCAGAACAGTGCATGCTATCCAGGTACCCTGCCTGTCTGCTTGTGCAGGGGGAAAGGTTCTCTGATACCCCATCACTGCAGAACATGGGGTTAAACCTTGGAATTTTAAATCCTGTTCCTTTAATACTGAAGGAAAACTACCTGGAATTCACACCAATTAAAAGATTCAGTGCCCTATAAAGATTCTCTCCAAATGGCACAGTTAGCACATGATGATGTCATGAAGACACTTCACCTGGGAAGTACAGGCACATTTGTATGCTATTTAATTATAATCAGTATGCAAGTGGCAAATGTATGAAATGGACCTGAAACAGATCCCGGAATTTCATTTATTTTCTCTTTCTGGGAAATATTAAAAAGAAAAAGGAAAACTCCTCAGGAGCCCCATCAGCTATGCCATGTTCGCACACTAACTCAGCTCTTATCAAACCAGTTCAAACAATCACTTTCTGTTTAAATATAGGTGCCAGTATTAAGCACAGGCGGTGGGTTTGGGATGAATGGATTCAGTTGCTTTTCCCCCCAAGCAGAGGGCATGAAATTGAAATTTGCATATACATAAAATAAATGACTGAATGACTAAAAATAAAATTACAGGAATTCAGCTTCTTGTTTGAAACGTTAAATCTCAACAGAAAATATTCTCTGCATTTCCATATGTAGCTTCACTTTATTTTCCTCATTCAGTTAGCAAAAGACCTACACTAAACCAATCTGCCATCCATTCTGGCTGTCACATGGGAAAGCCCTGGCCACAAATAAACCAAGGATCACAAGGACAAAATGCATAACATTGCGTGGAAATCTACCTCCCCCCCAATCAATTTGCTCTGTATCACAGACCAATGACGCCTTGACTGAAATAAACAAAACATTAAGAAATCTAACATATCACTACTGCATAGATGGCGTCAAAACTTAATTTTATCACTAAGAAATTGATTCAATCCCCTGTGGCTATACACTGGTTCCTCATATAAAACTATATATGCATATACTAAAGTGAAAAATCTGCATTTGAGAAAGAACTTCTAGATATGCAGATTAAGGGCCGGTTCCTAAAGAGAGGCATAGATAAGATGCATTTTCTCAAGGGTCTGTGAGTTGCTCTTTAGGGTCCATTTGTAATTCAAAAAAAAAAAATCATTGTGGGAAGAGCAGATGACAAATGAGATTGGGAACTTTTCACTAGTTCTAGTTCTTCCCAAGTCAATAGTAACTAAATCAGTTATGCTCCAACAGCTGTTCTGAGGTCTATTTTAAAATAGTAGCACCAATCTTTTCCTAGTGTATAGGTGTCCACATTACAGCTGGCACTATACAACACTCTTATGGGTGGTCTGAACTGGGAGGACAGGGACTGAATGGGAATGGGGGGGTTGAAATATTTTGTCTTTTGCTGATCAACTCTCTTTGGAGAGGTATATTTGTACACAGTGTGAGAAAGCCCAAATTGCCACCTATGCCTGTTCTGTTCATAATCAGAGATTTTTAGTGTGTGAGGCTTTCAGCCTGGCACCTTTCAGAAGCATTAAAAAAAATCCACAAAAATTGAGATTTGTGTGTGGTTGAGGAAATTTTAGCCAAATGGTATTTATTAGAGAAACATTGCTAGGCATTCATTTAATATGCACAGAGATTTATAGTATACACAATGGCTCCAAATCCTTAAAAATATTCATATTCTAACATTTGCTAACACACTTCAGAAGCAATATTAAAAGCAAATACAATTCTAGCAGCATACCAGGTAATTACTGGACTGTGGAATAGACTTGAGGTACTTAGCATCGTGAGACAATTTGCAGTAGGGCACTTGATGTTCAGGGATACCCTTAAAAGAAAGATAAAGTTTTGGTCAGCTTTTTTCCCCCAGTAGCTGGGAAACAAAAGCGCAAAACAAATAACAAGTAAACATTCAGCCACAGGAAGCCATTAACAACAGTGGGCACCAATTAGGACCCAGCAGGTATTCCTAACACCGCCTGGTGCTCTAGCTCCTCCTCAAATGCTTTGACATAACATTCACAAACTTAGGCTTAGGAAACAACAGGCTGTTTCATTTACTCAGCAATTTGT